CATTGGCTGCTCTAGTAGATGACTTCTCAATCTCCTACAACTCATCTGGACAGTCTATTATATATTAAATATATATAATGCTATATATAATTCTTGCCTGTTTCATCAGCTCATTACAAGGATTTTACATTCAATTGCTTCAATCTCTGATTGAACCATCATAATTTATCAAGTCAGAGATTGTAACCCTAGGGAATTGGCACACAGATGAGAAAGGGGATGTTTAATGTATTAAATACGTCTGAGATATGAACTAAATTCAGCAGGCAGAGCACTCAATGTATAACTGAAGATTTTGAACATATGGACTTCCAAAATTCCCTCTTGATAGTGCTCAATCGGTGACAGAGCAAAACAATGAATTTACAAGACTTTTTGCAGGGAACATGAGCTCAACATAATAGTGGATGAAACATCAGTCTGAAAAAGCCGGATTTCGACTTGCGTTTGGCAAAGGCCATATATATATATATATGGTTTATTATTTCCCACTACCAGCTAACACTGATATACACAATCAAAAATAAATCCTAATTTCAAAATTAATCAAGTTTGTCTGATGATCAAAACAGCGTAAACCTAGGGTCACAAACTCTACATCAATCCAACTAAATATATTGCTCTAGCACAGATATTGAGCGCTTTCAATAAGCACCGCGTATATATAATATATAAATTAAATAATATATATAAAAATTACATATATATATATATATATATATATATATATATGCATATATAATACACAGACATATAACATATTCACACAAACATATATATATATATATACACATATACACACATATATATAAAGTTGCACGTATATATATATACATATATATACACATAGTCTATATATATATATTAAAATACACATCAATTATTTATAAATATATATATAAACACACACACACAATTTTTTAAAATTAAAGAAAAAATATATATATACCAAACACGCTACCTGTGGTTTCAACACATTCAGTATCACACACAATCCCACGTGTGAGAACATTTCTTCATGCTTTATTATTTAAAAACAAATTCAAATGGCATATGACACAGATTTTTTACATTTTTAAAAAATATGTCCAACTTTAAATCGCATTAATATGACTTCTTTTTGGGGTCTTAAAAATATTATGCACAATTATTGCTGCGGTTTTACATTTTATGACAAAGCACAAAAATGGTATGAAAATATTCGAGGGCGTATTCGAACCCATGTTCCAATAAATATATACATTTAAATATTAACATAACAGCGGTTGTTTGTGTGTGTGTGTGTGTGTGTGTCTGTGTGGGTGTGTCAAAAATGGATGTGTGTGTGTGTGTAGTAAATCGAACTGAAAAGTTCAAAAAATGAAATGTATCAAATATTAAGATCGAAAATCGTGAATTTGTTTGTGTTATGGACTCTTCAAACTGTGACATATAAAATGCACAAATAAAAAAATGACAAAATGGAAAAAAATCCCCTGTGATATTTCAACCTTCAAATGGACTTCTCCAGACTAAATAATACTTTTGTGGTGGATCATATTTATTCCCCAAATAAAAATATATATACATGTATATTGTGCCTGTGCGTATATATATATATATATATATATATATATATATATATATATATATATATATATATATATATATATATATATATATCCTGTCATAATGTAAGCAGAAAAAAAGTGACATATCATAGATGAGGGAAGTGTGTTATTAATAACATCCCTGTATCCTGTCATAATAAAAGCAGGGAAAAAGAGACATGCCATAGAAGAGAGAAGAGTGTGCTTAATATATTCCCTGTATCGTGTCATAATATAAGCAGGGAAAAGTGTCATAGCATATAAGAGGGAAGCGTGTGATTATATCATCCCTGTATCCTGTCATAATGTAAGCAGAGAAAAAGAGACATAGCATAGAAGAGGGGAAGAGTGTGCTTAATATCATCCCTCTATCCTGTCATAATGTAAGCAGAGAAAAAGAGACATAGCAGAGAAGTGGGAAAAGTGTGCTTAATATCATCCCTGTATCCTGTCATAATGTAAGCAGAGAAAAAGAGACATAGCAGAGAAGTGGTAAGAGTGTGCTTAATATCATCCCTGTATCCTTTCATAATGTAAGCAAGTTTAGAAAGAGACATAGCATAGATGAGGAAGAGTGTCGCTTCATATCATCCTAAATCCTGTCGTAATATAAAGAGAGAAAAGAGACAGAGCATAGAAGAGGGAAGTCGACTGCAAAATCATCCCCATACTGTCATAATATAAGCAGAGAAAATCATTAGACATAGCATACTAGAGGGAGCCATGTCCCCATCAATAAGAGATGGATTTATACTTTTCCGAAGGATATTTGAACGTAAGTGAATGTAACAAAAATACTAACAAATCATGTTCATGATCATTAGTCAAGTAACCTAATAGTTTTAGAGACATCACATGTATTACAGCCGTAGCTTCACTGTAGGTATAGACAGAATGATGGAAACCAAACATCTCCAGCCTGGTTTGATTTTTCCTCGACTGGTTGCCAAACCAAATTCTCTAGGTCAGAGAATAAGAGAATAGTCATACCTTTGCCAAGGGTATTTGAACCTCAACTAGAACTTGCTTCTTTGATTCCTTATTCCATTATCCATTGGACCATCTTGCATTTAGATCTATATATATAAAATAATGAAGTAAATAAGATCTACTACGAATATAACGGCAATACGTCATCATCCACTGAACCAATGTATGACCTTACCCACAAAAAATAAATAAATAAAAACAGAGACAATTATATATAAAAATGTATTTAAGGTTTCTCTATGAACTTTTGTTATTGATAAACATACACATCGCTTGTTTCTGGAAATAACATAGTTGTAAATATTTCTGAAAGTTTTCTTATTTCTCAAAAAAGGTAGAGAAATTATTTAAAATATGCTATGAATTTATTATTATTATTATTATTATTATGAATAATAATAATAATAATAATAATAATAATAATAATAATAATAATAATAATAATATTTAACGATTTCATTCATTTAGTTTTTGCATCTATCTGTTTTCGAAATCAATTTTATTGTTTTAGCAGCCTGTAATGTCTTCTTTCAATTCAGTAGTCATTTTTTTTTGTTTTTTGCCTTTTCATTCTTGTGCAAGCTCACGCATGAACATGATTGCACGCACGCAGGCACGCATGCGCATACACACTTGTAAAATAAAAGAATGAAATATTAAAATAAAAATAATATGACGTAACTGTAGGTCGTTGCAAAAATATTTCGACCTGTTCTCTCACACGACTGGTAGAAAATTGAAAGTTTTCAGGGAGTGGGATGGGGAACGTTAGGTGAGTTTATGCACACGTGGATGCGTATATGATTAGTGTAAATGGATGTGAGTAAACATTTTTGAGTTTCTCCTCCTTTCATATAGGTAAATTTGGAAAGAAGAACATATATAACCCAAATGTGTACCTTACTGAAAACATTGTGCATATTCGTGTTTGTCGGAGTAGCAAAGTATGTTGGAATTAAAACAATAGAGAGCTTCTTAATTAAGAAAATATATCTGTAAATCGGATCTTCTGTGGGAAAATTTGAAATTTGTGTTAAAAAAACACACAACACAAAGACATACATACACACAAAATCTACACATGAAAAATTTATATTTATATGTGTGTGTGTATGCATGTGTGTTGTATATATAATATACAATATATATATATATATATATATATATATATATATATATATATATATATTGTTTGAATCAAATATATTACATACCATTATTTAAAATCTCCATTGACTTAATTATTTACATATCTCAATCTTAATTATTTACTATCTTTCTTCTATATATATATATATGTTTGTGTGTGCTAATTGACCCTATATACTAAAAAATATATATATATATAAGGATATATATATATATAATATATATATATATATATATAAATATATATATATATATATATTTATTTTTTTACACACACACAAAACAACACACACACACATATATATATATATATATATATATATATATATATATATATATATATACAATATATTATGGCTTTAACATTTGAAGTGCTAAAAAACTGTCGGATAAAAAAGTGAACAATCCATTACTTCTTTAGAAAAAATAATATGTATATATAAATGAGAGAGAGTGAAACAGAGTGATTATTTTGGTTATATATATATATGCGTTTTTATATAAAGACGTATAATTCAAATTTTCTTGTATGTGTATACGTGTGTGTGTATGTGTATCTATTGATGTGAGTGCAGGAAAGTAGATATATTCTATGTTCTGTATGTCGGCGTGGGCAAAGTAAGAAAATTCAGAAAAATCACTGAGTAGTAAAGATAGTTGTTTTCACGAAAATGATTATTTTTATTTTCAGACAATTTTTATCGCATAATGAACACAGACATACATAATTACATGTATGCATATATATATATATATATATATATGTATGTATGAATGCAACTAAATAGATGCATATATACATGCGGCCATTTACAAATAAGCAGCTATAATTTCTGTCATATATATATATATATATATATATATATATATATATATATCGTCTGTGTGTATGTGTATGTGTATTGTCTCAAATGTGTGTCCGTGTTCAAATAGAGTCTCCATGTTTGAATGATGCTAGTTAGGAAATGGCGTGGTAAAATACAAAGAAAATGTGTGAATATACGCTTCACATGGCGGGTGACACCAATAGCATTTTGATTTCAATGAAAATAACACAACAGATACAAGCAACCACAAAGCTAAAGAAAAAAATTAGACGAAAAATATGAGCCCTCCAAAAAATAAATGGAAGAAAGACGATGAAAATCCATTGAAATGCTTTTCTTTCATCCCCACAGTGCTTACTTGTCAAGAATATGCCGAAAGCTTGACATGAAATTTTGAGAGAGAAAAAAATTATATGTAAAAACAAAGATGAAAATACAATGGTGACTAGAACGCGTGGAAGGAAATAGCTGAGAAAAGAAAGAAGGAAGGAAAAAAGAAAGAAACAAACAAATAGAGTAATGACGAAACAAAGAAACAAATAAAGGGAAGCAAGAAAGATGGAAATAAATAAATAAATAAAGAAAGAAAGAAAGAAAGAAAGAAAGAAAGAATGAAAGAAAGAAAGAATGAAAGAAAGAAAGAAAGAAAAACAGAGGAAGGCTGTTAAATGACAAAGAAAAGTAAAGAAATATAACGATTAAACTAAAAGTAAACGACCGATTGCAGGAAGTAAGAAAGAAGAAAATAAAGAAGAAAAGAAAGAAGGAAAGAAAGAAGAAAAGAAAGAAGAAAAGAAATAAGAAAAGAAAGAAGAAAAGAAAGAAGAAAATAAAGAAGAAAAGAAAGAAGGAAAGAAAGAAGAAAATAAAGAAGAAAAGAAAGAAGGAAAGAAATAAGAAAAGAAAGAAAGAAAGTAAGAAGAAAAGAAAGAAGGCAAGAAAGAAGAAAAGATAGAAGAAAAGAAAGAAGAAAAGAAAGAAGAAAAGAAACACAAAACAAAAGTAGAGAGGTGAAGTCAGAAATGAAAGAACAAAAAAATAATGGATTACAAGCTGTTAAGAGAAAGAGATAAAGAAAATTGAGAAAAGAGGCGATAAATAGATCTACATAAATATAGAAATAAGGAGAAAGAGGAAGTAAAACGGAAACGAAAAAGATAGAAAAAATAAAGTAAAATGAAAGAAAGAAAAAATAGAAAAAGGAATGAAACGTGAAAAACTAAGTGAAATAATTGTAAAGAATACTTGAAGAAAAAGATGATGAAAGAAGATAAAAGAATTATTCCGACTTGAGTGTATGTCTGTCTCTACGTAAATGGCCGTATATATATACAGACAGACATGGTAATATATATATATATATATATATATATATATATATATATATATATGAGAAAGTAGATAGATCGAAGTAATGGGTGTGTACGGAAATATAAAAAACACCGTAAGTGTTAAAAGAAAAACAAAAGCAATTCTAAATTGAAAAACAGGAGTAAAAAACAAGAGAAGTTATAAAAAGGCAATGAAGCCCACGCCGTACACCTTAAAAAGGAAAATGCAGAGAAAAATATAAGAGATGAATATGAATATAAATAAAAATATGGTTAAAAGGTTAAAGAAGAAATAAATAAAATAAAACAATGATGAAATAAACAAATAGAAACGCATAAAAATCAAAGAAAATCAGGAAAAACAAGTCAAATGTTAAAGGTTGGTCAAAGGTATTTTAAAGTAAAAAGAGAAAAGAAATATCATTAACGATAACAATAATAATAAAGGTGATAAATAATCAATAATAAGGAATAAATAATCAATAATAAGGAAAATAAAACCATAGAACAAAAATATAATAATCATTTTGAAAACTATGCCGTGAGTAACTAAAAAGTATCACCAAGAATGGCAAAACAATAACAGAAATGGCAATAATGTTAATGCTAAATGTCACCTTATTCTGAGAGCGAAGCAGACGTCAGAATATAGTTGACTTCAGCGACGGCAATGTTAAAAAATACGATAAATATTAAAGCCGATAAACAATTATATCCACACATATTGAAAATATTCACAAAATGTAGAAGTAATATTTTTTTAATCAGATAAAGACGAAAAAGCGAATAATATTAATTAAATATGTTAATATTTAAGACAGTATGTTGACTGTGTTTCAGTCAAGCTGCAAGCGATTTTTACACCGAGCATTATATATATATATATATATATATATATATATATATAACTATGAACCAGGCAAACCTACCTAGGTTTCACCTACGCGGATCGTCAGGGTACGCTGGCCAAAGAGGAACATTTTTTCTTTGGACTGTGAGCTTAGATTCTGGAGGATTGTTTTCGCCTGAATTACATGTTCTTGGTTCTTTCTTTTTTTATTCCTTATTTTTCCTTGGGTATTGGTTTGCTCATTTACAAGCCAAAAAACACCTAAGGTTTTTTTTTCCCGGACGAGTATAATTACTTATATTTATAAGATTATTATATATATATATATATATATATATATATATATATATATATATATATGATGATTTGTCATCTAAATAACGCAAAAATGAAAATAACACTAACATCAACAGATATATTTACCAAAATTACACAAAAATATCTTGAAATGTTAGAGAGTAAATTCATTCAATAAAATCGCCATTAACTTCAACTAGATGACTTCGGAATCTCCTACAACTCATCTGGACAGTCTCATTATTAAAGTTGGCGAATGCTGCAATAATTCTTGCTCTGAGTTCATCTTTGGTGTTACAAGGAGTTTTGCTGGTATCTTGCTCAACTGCGTTACCATCATAATAATCAAGGGGTTGTAGTCTGGGGAATTAGGTAGCCAGATGTAAGTGGGTGATGTGGCTGCAGAAATTGTCTGAAGGATATGACTGGGTTCTCTTTCTTGAGGAGCAATGTGCAGAGTCCTGTTGCCAGACATATGGTCTTCCAGCAGCCACCCTCTTGACCCAGGGCAGCACTACCTCCAGAAGGTAAAAGCAATGAATTTACAAGATTTTTGGCAGGGAACATGAGAAACAACATAATAGTGGATGAAAGACAGTCACGAAAAAGCAGAAATTATTTCGCTTGCGTTAGAAAAGGCCATGGCTTTAGTCTTCCCTGGTTTATTATTCCCTTCAAGCTAGGTCATGATTATGAGCAACAAAATAATAAAGTGTGTGTGTGGAGGGAGGAGATCAGAGTTTGTCTGACGATCGCAAACGGCGTGAAACCCAGGGTCACAAACTCACATCAATCCAACTAAATATGTTAGCTCTAGCACAGATATTGAGCGCTTTCCAATAAGCACCGCGTATATATAATATATAAATTAAATAATATATATAAAAATTACATATATATATATATATATATATATATATATATATATATATATACACAGACATACTGACATATGCACACACACACACACACACACACACATATATATATATATATATATATATGAAGTTACTGATCAGAGTTGAATTAGTCTAGGAAACAGTAGCATTAAAAAGTGATCAATGCACATATAAAGAAAGGAAAATAAAAATTTAACATGCAATTTTTAAAATTAAAGAAAAATGAGTAGATATGCCAAACACGCTACCTTGGTTTCAACCTTTCAGTATCTTCAGGCAATTCGGGCTAAATAATTTCTTCATGCTTTATTATTTAAAAACAAATTAAGGTAAGAGACACCAGGGTATTGTTTTGGCTTTTTTAAAAAAAAAATATTTCCAACTTTACAATCGCATCCTTGCTGCTTTTTCTTTTGGGGTCTTAAAAAACATGATTTCTTCTTGCTGCGGACACCATTTATGACAAAGCACAAAAATGGTTAGAAAATATTTGAACTGTGATTCGAACTGAGATGTTTCAGCAAAAGAAATACATTTTAAGGGCTTAACATAACAGCGGTTGTTTATGTTGTGGACACCCTCGGATCTGTGACAGACAAAATCAAAAATGGATGTGAGTAATTTGAACAGTGATTCGAACTGAGATGTTTCAGCAAAATACATCTTAAAGGTTTAAGAAAACAGAACTTGTTTGTGTTATGGACACTCTTCAAACTGTGACAGACAAAATACACAAATAAAAAAAATTGGAATTGTGATTCGAAAAGAGATATATCAGAAATACATTGTGGAGATTAGGAAAAAAGAAGTGGTTCTTGTGGTGGACATATTTGGAGCTGTGACAGAGAATACAAAAGTAAATCGGTAGAATTCTGACTGCGCTTCGAACTGAGATGTTTCAGAAAAAAAAAGTTTGGTCTTACCAAAACAACAGTTGTTTGTGTTCAGGACAACCTTGTAGCTGTGACAGAAAGAATCCAAAAACGATTCAGTGAACTCGAGACTGTGATTCAAACTAAGATATTTCAGAAAAAAAACATTTTGTGGGCTTACGAAAACAGCAGTTTTTGTGTTGTGGACACCCACGGAGCTGTGACAGACAGAATCCAAAATCGATTAGGTGAACTCGTAACTGTGATTCCAACAAAGATATTTCAGAATAACATTTTTTGGTCTTACAAAAACAGCAGTTTTTGTGTTGTGGACAACACTGGAGCTGTGATAGAGATAATCCAAAAACGATTGGATGAAATCGTGACTGTGATTCGAACTGAGATGTTTTAGAAAAAAAACAATTGGTCTTACGAAAACAGCATATTTTTTGTGAATACCACTGGAACTGTGACAGACAGAATCCAAAAACGATTGGGTGAACTCGTGACTGTGATTCGAACTAAAATGTTTCAGAAAAAAACATTTTTTGGTTTTACGAAAACAACAGTTTTTGTTTTGTAGACACCCTTGGAGCTGTGTCAGACAGAATCCAAAAACGATTGGTGACTGGGATTCGAACTGAGATGATTCAGAAAGAACATTTTTTGGGATTACGAAAAAAAGCAGTTGTTTGTGTTGTGGATACCCTTGGGGCTGTGACAGAATCTAGAAATATAGGTGTAAAATAACGACTGTGATTCTAAGTGAGATTTCTCAGAATAAATTTGTGGAAGATTAGGAAAACCAAAATTGATGGTACAATTGGGAATGTGATTCTAACTGTGAAGTTTCAGAACAAAAAACAACAACTTTGTAAGGGGTTAAAAAACAAATAAGTAAAATTTGGACTGTGATTGAAACTGAAATGTTTCAGAAGAAACATTTTGTGGTTTTACGAAAACAGCAGTTGTGTGTGTTGGGGACACCCTTGGAACTGTGACAGAATCCAAAATGTGATTGTGTGAACTTGTGACTGCGATTCGAACTGAGATGTTTCAAATACATTGTGTGGGCTTAAGAAAGTTGTTCTTGTGGTTATTTTAGGGCTGTGACAGATAGAATTAAAAAATGGAAGGGTAAAATTATGACTGCGTTTCGAACTAAGATCTTCCAGAAATCAGTTCTGTTTGAGATAACCAAGAAAAAGTTTTTTGATGTAGATAGGTGAAGATATGAGATTTTTTATGATACACTACTGATTGTTAATTTTCTGCATATGTACTTGAGAAAATGATAATAATATCAATGTTAATTTTTCTTTTGTTTTACTCTCTATTTAGCACAAACCCTTACCTTACCTAGTTATTACTTGAGACTTGGGGTACGGCAAAGTAGCAAATATATGCATTATGTTCACACAAATTCTGATGTCAGTTGACATTCAACATGAACAATATTTATATTTTCTAGCAATCTCCACGGGAGACGCTCAGTACACTTTTAAATTTTGTTGTAAACAGAGACTTTCAAGGATCATATTGTGTTCGTACTCAGATGAAACAAGCAACTTAGGTGACTTGGGGTCCTATCTAGATACTTGGAAACAAATCGGATATCGACTGGATTACTCGACCATAACATATTTCTAACTGGACGCCGCC